AAAAACAAAGCCAGATAGTCAAGCAAAACTAATTCCTTCACTGGCCACGTCTAAAAAATATATGTCTTAATCTATATCCTGGACACATTACCTCTGAGAGGAGAGAGGTGATGTGTTTTATCACCAGTCTTCTGGAATCCTTCTTGATCATTATGTTAATCAAAATCCTTAAAACTTTTAGAATTTCTTGTTTTATAGTATAAATTATTCTGGTTTTGCTCACCTTATGTTCATAAAAGTTTTCCTAGGCTTCACTAAAACCAACTTCTCCATCTTTTTTTTTTTGAAAGAAGGAAACAAGCATTTTAAAGTGTCTACTATGTACCAGGCATTGTGCTAAGCATTTTACAAATATATTTCATTTTGATAATATAGCATAATAGTATTAATTACATTCATAATACCATAATTCTGTCATTTTCCCCAATTGATGGGTATCCCCTTAGTTTCTAGTTCTTTGCTACCACTGAAAAAGCTGCTATAAATATTTTTGTACATATGGGCCTTTTTCCTCTTTTGAAAAAAAATCTCTTAAAGATATAGGACTAGTAGTGGTACAGCTGGATCAAAGAGTATGCACAGTTTAATAACTTTTTTGACTTGGTTCAAAATTACTTTCCAGAATAGTTATATCATTTCACAGATCTACCAATAGTGCATTACTGTGCCCGTTTTCTTTAGTCCCTACAGTTTGTAATTTCTGGAAAGCAGTTTGTAATACTATGTACAAAGATTATCTACAAGAAATTAAGTGAGAGAGAAAATATGAAATAAAAGCTCTGGAGGAAAGAATTTGAAGAAGAAGAAATTATTTCAAAGAGAAAGTCATGAACCTTTTCCAAGGAACTCCCTGAAAACTAGAATGGACCAAAGAGAACTCAGTGACTCCAAGAGACAACAAGAAATGTTAGACAAAATCAAAAGTTTGAAAAAAATAGAAGGAAATGTGAGTTATCAGATATAAAAAACCGATTTGGAAAACATATCAAGGAGAGATAATTTAGAAACTGTTGGACTCCATAAAACCCATGATTTTGAGAGGGAAAAACCTGATGACTATTATTTCAAGAAATCATAAGTCAAAACTGCTCAGTTCTATTAGAACTACTTTAGGGAAAACTGCAAGAAGAATCCACCAATCACTTCCTAAAACAAAACAACGACAACAAAAAAACCTCAATAGGAAAAGTTCAAGGAATATCATAGCCAAAATCCAGAGCTTCTACATCAAAGAAAAAATCCTACAAATATACAGCAAAGAAGGAGTTCAAGTACCAAAGAACCACAATCAGGATCATACGGGATCTGCAACTTTCCACCATAAAAAAGAGGAATTTGGAATATAATATTTTAAAAGGCAGAAGATGTGTTTTTACTACCTAGAAATGGACCCTTAAATGAAATAGAGGATATTCAAGTATTTCATATGAAAAGGCCAGAACTGAAATACAAACACAAGAATCAAGAGAAACCTAGAAAGGTAAATTTATGTGAGCAACTGGACAGGATTGTATGATGATATAGTACTAACAGCCTAAAAGGAGGAGAAGAAAGAGAAATGTTCCTTTAGAACCTTAATGTCTTCAAAAGGTATTAAGGGAATTAAATAAGAAAAACAGGTTATGGGGTAAGTTAGTCATGTTCTTAGCGTTTTGTGGCAGGTGGACTCTGAAATGACTGAAGAAACAAAGGTTTGAACTTCCGAGCCTATCAGTTTATTAAATAATGCATGCCAATTGCATAACGAATCAGGACCAGGCTTCCTTAGCTTTGGTACTGTACCCTGAATACAGGAGGAGAGGGATTTTTACACATTAAAAACAACCAAATAAGACCAATTAATTAAAAGAAAACAATTAACAAGGTAAAAACCAGGATACAAGATTAAGTAATATGATTTCTAATTGGAGTAAAGATTAAGGAGTTTTCAAGCTGGGAAGGGGAAAGTAAGTGCAATTCCCTAAAGTCAGAAAAAAGGGGTCCCACTCCTCCTGAAGTGTTCATATTCAATCAAAGAAACATGGAAACAATAACTAATTGACCAGTACAGGGCCAGTTTTTAGATAAAACATATGAATTGCTTGAGATGCATAAGTATGAGAAAACTCCATGCATCGATCTTTGGATTTGACTGGGTTTCTGGTCAGCATAACCTAGGTCCTTAGTTAAATGTCTCTAAGCAACAAGTAAAAGTGGTCCAGCTTTCCAGCCATGTGGGGCTAGATTCAAACAATGTAATAAAGTTTTCTCACAATTCCCATAATTGAATGAAGTTTTCTCACAAAATAGAAATTGGACTAGACCCATAATTTAACAGAAAGGGAACTAAGCCAGGTCCAGAATTGAGTCACAAGATGGAGTCAGTTTGGTTCAGTAAATTCCCACAATTCCCTTAGTTTCAAGAAGGGAAAGAAAAAGGAGAGTAAAAGGAGACACACACTAGTACAGAAACGAGCAAGAAGGGAGTAGACCTTGCTATTTCTCATAAAGGGGAGCATAAGATGACAAGTATACAAACATGGAGGAAGCAATAAGGGAGAGCTAGCATCAAATGAATCTCACTTGTCTGAAATAGGCAAAACACACACAGAGATTGGTGCAAAAATACATTAAACTCAATAAGGAAACTTACTGATTCTAAAGAGAGGATTAAAAGTAAAAAAAAAGAAAAGAAAAAACTGGAAACTCATTTGGCTAATGGCTGAACAAACTGGGCTGTGTGATTATAATGGAGAATTATTGTACCATAAGAGACAGCTTAAGAGAATCCTGAGAAGTATGAACTTATACAGAAGAAAGTGAACAGAATCAGGAGAAGAATTTATATGACAGTATTATAAAGAAAAACAACTTTGACAGACTTAAGACCTTTGATAAAAAGCAATGACCAACCTAGAGTACCTATGATGAAGCATGTTATACACCAATAATGTCGTGTAATTTTATTTTTTTTGGCAATCAGGGTTAAGTGACTTGCCCAGAGTCACAGGGCTAGTGTCAGGTGTTTGGTCTGAGGCAGAATTTGAACTCAGGTCCTCCTGACTTCAGGGCTGGTGCCCTATCTGCTGTGCCACCTAGCTGCCCTGTGTAATTTTCTTTTTGTGCTTTTCTGTGTACATATAAATGTTCGATTTTGTGTGTGTTCAAGTTCAGAATAAACAAAAAATTTTAAAGCACATATTAGGGACAATGAGATAAAAGGCTCAGTGGAATCAACATGTGGCTTTCCTATGGTAATCAACGACTTTACACTCTCCCTGCTCATATATGGGCCTGAACCACACCTACCTACTGACTGTAGAGTCTCACAGGATAGAAAGAAAGCAAATACAATCTGTATATCTCTTGGCTTCAAGAGGAGTTAGAGAAAGCTTAGCATCTAGCCACAACTTCGGCCCAAAAGAACACTGAAATGAATGACAGTATGATGATTGAATCGTCAAGACTTTCAACTAGAAGATAATGTTCTGCTGAGAAGCCATGATATTCGTGGGATACACAAGTTAGCAATTTGATAGAAAGCTACTCTGTACCTAGGAGTGGAAAGACTGGTCATATTGCTTTGTGTACGAAATGGCCCTAGAGATTGGCAATGAACCTACAAAAGCAATCCACTGTAACCACTTATTGCCAATTGGTGAGTTATTTGGATTCTCTGAAAGGTAGACAAAAAAGTGATGGACACTCATTTCAGTGGATGCCACATGGAAGAGATGACCTTCTAGTCATAAAGGTCTGACTCAATGACCCAGAAAAACATTTCAAGTGAAGAATATTCTGTGAACTACACCCCTAAAATCCAATTTAAATGATAGAAAAGGTTTAAACTCAGAGGCAATAACTTTCCTATCTAGCACCCTAGCTATAGAGACGGCTCCGGTTTCTACATGCCCTGACAGAATGTAGTAACCCAGGTAGTCAGCTCAGACCCTCTATAAGTTCAGGTTTAGGAAAGCAGGACTATAGTCATGATGAGGATTTATGATTCAACCACACAATCAACATAGCCCAGGGGTACAGGTAGACATTGTTGTTCATCCTTCGTTTTGAACATGACCTGTGATATCACAGATGATGTCTTGATTTGGATGTGAATTAAAGTGAGGCAGAACTGTGCAATGTCATCAGCCTCTCTTATTCAGGCTCATTAGAAATCCAGTGGCAGGATAGAAGTCCAGATGACTGGCAATGGCCTGGGATGCAGTGGATGACTCTGGCACTCCACAGAGACTGCTTCAGCTGCCTTCATGGTTGTTTGAACAAATTGTTCTCATCTGCCCATTTTGCCAGGGCAAGTCTTCACCTGCTTGGGGTAGACATCTCCCTAGTTCACTGATGCCTGTGAGGTCACCTCCACCTGATGGACACTAAAGGTGGATGAGGAGCCCAGAAAAGGGCTCAGCAGCCCTCACACCAGAGGTGCTAGTCCAGAGATAAGGGCAGTTAGTTCAGTAGGATAGCTACAACTCTCTGACCAATGAGCAGGCTAACTATGATGCACCAGGTGAAAGAGACTGAAAGGGTACAACATATAGCCCCATGATAATAATGTTTATGCACACAGTGGGTACTTTGTATGTAATTTCATTGTAAATTCATTAATGTATATAATTTACTGCATATATTACATATGTTATTGTATTATTTTTCTTGTTTGTATTTATTTACTCTTGTATTAGTATCACGCATATATCATAGTTGCATTTGCCTAACTATTCAATTTTACCGTATGTTTATTTGCATGTTTCTTTTTCTTCACATTTTATTAATTTGTAGACCCTCCCCCCATGTCATTTTGCTTTAATTTTGTTGTTTGCATATTTGCTTGTGTCCTATAGATACTCATGTATTCCTGTGACACTGCATGTACTGTGTCCTATGCGTAATTTAAACCTGTAGTCAACGAAGCAGCTTGTTAAGTGATGTTTTGTATTGTGCAATGCCTACTGTGTGTTTTCGTTGGTGTGCGGTTGTTGTGAATAACATGCCGAGGTAATTACCTGGGATGCCAGTTTAATCATCCTTGTTCCATTAAGTGCTGATAGATATTTTATTTGATGCTTAGCTTTCTAACTCCAGAGGCCACGTACTCCAGAAGATTCTTGAAAGGGACTGCAGAATTCCAAACCCTGAGAAGAATGCAACCATCTAATCAGACTTCCAGGTAAGAAGTCTGAAATCTAACAGGAATTCGAGAAAAAGAAAGAGAACCTTTTCAGTTCTGAGTTGGTAGATTTTACGAAGCCGTGGTGGCGTTGCCCTGAACTGCCAAACTTAACTGAGTGGAAGCCGAGGGACTGAGGGGAGCCTGGATGAAGAAAACAAGCAGTCCCAGACAAGTCAGAGCACTGCCGGACTCACAAGGGCTACAGGTCCTGAGGCCCTCCCCTCTCCATCCAGGGAGCCCTCTGCTCTGGACCCTGTGTGCAGCTGAACCAAGTTCAGTCCGGGGGGACAGACACTGCTTCTAATAAGAAGACTCCCTTTTTCCCCAACGCTAGCCTACTAAAACCTCACCCTGGAACCCTAGAGGCCAACTATTAAAAATTAGGTTGACATCTAGGGTTTCACAAAAAAGGGAAACGTAATAGATCCTCAACATATAATGTGGATAAGGTGTGGAACAGGTCACTGTGCACACAGAAAAATAAGACAACAGACTCAAGCATGCAGTGACTGATCAGTTTAGCTACAATTATCTCCTGCGCAGCGTTTTCCTCACTCCTAATTTCCTCCCTCAGCTAATAAAGATTAAAGCAGAAGAAAGTTTTGGAAGATAAGACAATCAACCTCGTTTGAATAAACTAGAAATCAGTCACCCAACAAACTAGTCAGGAAGTGACATTCGAACTCAGGACCTCTTAGTTCCAAGCTATCGCTGTTTCCTCAGTACCACACTAATTCCCGTGCTACTCAGCCTTCCTGCCTGACTCCAGCCTTGTACAAGGACTTTCAATACAAATATAAATTTGCTTTTCAGCTAGCCTCGTATGCTCTGGAGTATCACTAAAACACCCCATTTAAGAAACTCCGGGAAATCCAGCTGCTGGCGCATCTTGACTGTGAGTCACCCCATCAATACCTCTCGCCCTCCTCTCGTCCCTTCTCTCGTTGCACTCCCAGAAGGCGATGTCATAGCTGGATCTCATCATAGCTACTCTTTATGAGTCTTTCCTGCCATCTTTCCTAAAAATATCTCTACCTCACATCCAATCTAACCTCAAAACTAATCACACCCCTAATAGCCCCCTCCAAAAAATTAATAAAAACTAACAAGAGTAGGCAGATCTCGAAAGGGACTGGCAGGATGGCGTCTCGGACAGCTATCAACGGGGCTATGCGGAACACGCTCTTCCCCTCTACACCCCGAAAATCAGGCGCTTAACCTTTTTTGTTCTAACAGAAACCGACACAGTATGAATTAGGCTGGAGCCTCCCTTTTCTTGAGCAGGAGGAAAAAAAAAAGGCTTTCGGGCCGTCACGAACAGGATTCGAACCTGTGCGGGGAAACCCCATTGGATTTCGAGTCCAACGCCTTAACCACTCGGCCACCGTGACTCCCAGGCTCTACCTGTGCCGCGCGCTTATAGGAAGGGTCCCGAACAGCGCGGAAGGAGTTACAAACCTAAACAGAAAATTTCTTTCTCTAATTCTCAGTGTAGAGACACCCCTTCACCCACCATTCTCCGTGGTTCCTCACCAAAGTTTGGGAGAGAAGGCTTAGAATCCCCTCAGGAAAGGGCCAGGCCCCAGGTCAGCCCGAAGTGGGGCGGCGTCGAAGGGAAAGCGGGTCCGAGGGGGCGGGGAGAACTGTGAGGGTTCCGGGGGGAGCGAACGTCACTGGGAGAGAGGGGCAGCGGTGTGAAGGGGCTGGAACACCCGTGGGGGGCTTCCCGAGAAGGGAGAACCGCTTTCTCCTCATGGAAGAGCTTCGACCCCTCCCACTCCTCAGTGACCTTCGACGCTCTCCCCTGCCCCTCAAGGACCTCCTCAGTCACTTCCCCCGCCCCTTGTTTCCCTGTCATTCTTCCCACTCGCAGTCGCTCAGTGACCCCTCTGTCATCACCCCCCACCGCTGTCTCCTCCCGCCCTCCACTATTTCCCCCCAGTCACTCCCCCGTTCATTCACTCCCCCTGTCATTCCCCCCTAAATCCCGTCTTTTCACTTACCATCCACTGATCCTCCCCGCTGTGACTCCCCCTGCCCTTCACTGAACCCTCCCCTCTGACCTCCCCGTCGCTCCCCTCTCCCCTCACTGACACCCCCCCGTCGCTCCCCTTTCCACTCACTGAGCCCTCCCGTCACTCCCCTCACTGACACTCCCGTTACTGATACCCTCCGTCACTCCCTTCTCCCCGTCCCTGACCCCCCGTCACTCCCTCTCCCCCACTGACCCCCCATCATTCCCCTCTCCTCTCACTGGCCCCCCTCCCCGCAGTCACTCCCCCGTTCCCTCCCGCGGGCCCGCACCACTCTGGCCGGGCCCGGCAGGGGGCGCTGCGTTGGGCCCAGGCGGCTGCGGGCGGCGGGCCGAGGAGGAGGCGAGGCGAGGGAGCGGGGCGGGCGGTGGCGGCGACGGTGGCGGCGGCGGCGGCAGCTGGGGGGGGGAGCCAGGAGAAGATGGCGGTGCGGAAGAAGGATGGCGGCCCCAACGTGAAGTACTACGAGGCCGCAGACACCGTGACCCAGTTTGATAACGTGCGGCTCTGGCTCGGCAAGAACTACAAGAAGGTACGGGCCTGAGCACAGCGCGCCGGGCCAGGCCGGGCCGGGCCGGGGTCCCGGGCGCGACAAAGGGCGACTCTTGGACGCCCCCCTCGCCGCCGCCGCCCCCCTCTTTGGGGGTCCCCGCGACCCCCACATGCTGCGGGCCAACCTCGAGCTGTCGGGCCCGGCCCTGCCCGCCTCTGCCCGCTGTCCCCTCCCCCGCTGTCTTCCTCCTCCTCTGTCCCCCTTCTCTACTGTTCCTGTCCCTGATACCTTCTCTCCAGTGCTCCACCGCCCCCTTCCTTGCCCTGCTGCTCCCCACCATCCCCTCCCCCTCCCTCCATGACCCTTACCCCCTCCCCCGCTGCTCCCTCCTTACTCCTAGACCTCATGTTCCCCCCCCCCCACTGATGTTTTCTTCTATTTGTTTGATTCCCTCCCCTTCCCTCGGTCACCGCCCCCCCAATCCAGTATCCCTGGTTCCATTAAGTACCCCATGACCACCATCCACTCAGATAACACATGTAAAGCGCTTTGCGAGCCATAAAGCGCTGTGAAAATATTAGTAATACCATCATCTTCCTCTTTGTGGTTCATTTAAAAATTCTCAAGGAAGACAGGAGCTAGCTAGGGAGAGGGAGGAGGAAGAAGCCGACTGGATACTCCCCCGGGCCAGCCTTGGTGCCCAAGAGCCTCGGGGGGAGGGGGCAGCGGGTATTGAGGCCTCCCCGAGGCTTTGTGTGTGTATAGTATTGGGAGAAGGGAATGATGAAAAGCACGAGAGTAGACACCCACAGGGAAGGCCTCACTCCTGCTCATTGGCCTGAGAAAGGATCTCCGTGCTGTTACCTGTCTGCCTTGCCTCCATATAAGGGGATATCATTGCCTGTTTGGAAGCCAGAGGATAGGCGATTGTGGTTCTTTTGAACAGTTTCTCAGCATTTACAATGAAATCTCCACATTTTGCTCCCATCTTGACTTGAGGTCCCAGTGCTGAGACCAGTCTCAACCTTTTACCCAAGACTAGAGGTAGTAAGGGAGTAAACAAAAGGTCTGTGGAAAGTTATCTCCCCCTTCCATGGACCCTTTCCTGGTTATGTCCTTTGTCTGGAAGGCTGATAAAAGGACAACATCCACCTATATTGTATTCTCTCCTTGTAATCATATTCTCAGGGAAGAATCTGCTCCTTTTCTCACCATCCTGCCCCACTCTTTCTTCCAAGGAGGAAGGCAAGTTTTGTAATTTTTTTTCCTTCTTGGTTTTCTGGCTTTCAAATTCTCCCTACCCATCGTTGTTTCCTATTGGAGGTTGTAAGTGGTGGTACTGTTGGGAGAGCTCTGGGCTGTGAAACCTCTTTCCTCAGCTTTCTGGATACATTTGGATACAAGCTAACCTTGTTCTCTGGGGTCTCTCCAGGTGTCAGAGTCCTGACAGTCAGCTGCTCCATCTGCTGCTTGTCTGTACCCAGCATGGGGCTCTGATTTCCAGGCAGTTACTACCTTTGACCTTTGGGAGGGAGTATAAGCTGGGGGCTTATTCAGTGGATTCTGGGAGGAATTGACTGCTTGAGATCTGGTGTGGCTTTTATATACTACTGGGCTTTTGTCATTTACCTTTCCCTCCTGTGACCTTTCCTTTCCCTGAAGCTATTCTCTCTGCCTCCCTCTGAGAGGGATGCTGTCCTCTGTGATTGGGGTGGAGGAAACTGAGGTCAAAAGGTTAAAAGAAATCCTAGAGGTTCAGTTTAACATGAGTTTAAAGACTAGAGTTCTTGGAGAGAAGTATTATATGGGGATGTTTGAGAAAGTCCAGGATTGTTTTGAAGAGCCTACAGATATTAGGGCGCCTTCCTTGGTCTTGTATCTGGGCTACTTTATTCAGGGATAGTAGACCTTTTTGCCTGCCATTTCTGTGTTAGGCAGGATATAAGTAAGGTTTTCCTTACATCATTATCTTCTAGAGGATCTGTATTTTTTGGAAGTCCCCTCCAAAAAGATCCTGTGACAGTTCTATTTGGCCTGGCTTTCTTTAATAAGCAGTTTTGCCCAAGATTTTCATCTCTCCCTCTCTTCCTCCCTCCCCCCAAAAAAAGTTCTCACAAGTTAGTGGACAGCCTTGTCCTGTTCAGTGAGTCCTGAAGAGCCCTCCTTCTCTCCCCTCTCTTCCACATAGGCTGGATTCCATAAGGCCTGAGGCTTTTTATGACCCAGAGTACTGTTGTGGCACCAAGATAAGGGGGTCCTGGTAGCTCACATTACAGGGTGAAGCTCGAGAAAGAGAAGGAAATTCTCCCCTCTTGGGCACTCAGTACTAAACAGCATCAGTTATTTGCTGGCAGCAGAATTTTTACCTCCTGGAGCTCTTTCTGCTGCTCTTAGAACTAGGTGAAGGTGCCTCTTTTCTGCCTTCTTTTCACAAATAGTTTCTAGCTGTAGTCTGAGGAGAGGGGCTTCCAAAATGTCTCCATTTAACCTTACTACTCTTCTAGGGGCTTCTCTCTCAAGCGTAGAGATTGTGGGAGATATAATAGGAGCCTTCATCCTTCCCTTCCCCTCTCTGTCCCTAGTATATCCAAGCTGAACCACCCACCAACAAGTCCTTGTCTAGCCTAGTGGTACAGTTGCTACAGTTCCAGGAGGAGGTATTTGGCAAACACGTGAGCAACGCACCACTTACCAAGCTTCCGGTGAGTCTACAGGGCCAAGGCAGGTGGGTATCCCAACAACCTGGGGAGGGGACCTAGGCTGTTTAAATACTGTGTCTTTCCTTTCCTAGCAAACCTTAGGATATTGCTGGCTTAGCCTGGTTAGCCACATTTGGGCAATATCTGTCTCACAGCATCTCTTATTTACCCCTAGGCTACTCTACCCCTATCTAGAGATTTGTCCAAAGGATAAAATAGTTAAAGAAATGCCCTCAGCTTAGGGGCAGATATTATTGCTGTACTTTGCTTTCTGAAGTGAAATGATAAGGAGGGAGGGAGTAGGTAGCTTTTACCACTCCCTCTTCAGCTGCTTCTTCCACATGCCACTTCTGGTTTTGCAGATCAAATGTTTCCTAGATTTCAAAGCAGGAGGTTCCCTGTGTCATATCCTTGCAGCTGCTTACAAGTTCAAGAGCGACCAGGGATGGTGAGAGATCTTCAGACTCTTTTTAGATTCAGTTTGGTGGGAATGGGCCACCCTCCTGATCACCCAGAGTCTTTTAAAGGGGATGGCTGGGAATGGTAGTGACTATTTCATTGTGGCAGTGCCAGTAGGTTTGACCTAGTGGGAGAGCAGGGATTATTTTGAGCTGTCATTTTCTTTCTTCTTTAGAATAAATATATTTTTTACTTTGTATTCTGAGAGGAATCTGTGCCCAGTTTGGGAGTGGGGGAAAGGTTTTTCCTCAGCAGCAACGTGAGAAAAAACAGGTGGGCTAGCCAAAGGACTTAGCAAGAGGGTGGGGTTCAGGGGAAATCTCAACAGGTGAGAGCCTGAGCCTTTCAGAGCAGCTGGCCTTAGGAGCAGCAACAGGGGCCTGCCAGCTAGAGGCTCTTTTTGTGCCTTGTTTTAATTCCCCAAGTTATGAAGTCATGTGTCCCCCTACCCCCATCCCCAGGCCTGAGCCATGCCACTCACTGGGCTCTTGCCTTCCCACAAGGCGGCGTTACGATTTCCAGAATCCATCCCGCATGGACCGAAATGTGGAAATGTTCATGACCATTGAGAAGTCCCTTGTGCAGGTAACACCTAAGAATATTCCACTTGGCTCCTTCCTTACCCTGCAGTGATAATTCAGAATGCTCCAACCACCTACCTGTCTGCTTGTCCTTTCTACAGAATAACTGCTTGGCTCGACCCAATATTTTCCTACACCCTGAGATTGACCTTAAGCTGCTAGGGAAATTGAAGGACATTATCAAAAGACATCAGGTAAATAGATGTACCTGAGGGATCCCTGTGAAATCCCATGACTTTTTCCCTTTTTAATCTTTCTCCCTAAGAAATAGCATTGAAGGGCTCATTTTTTTCTGCCCCATGGTTAGTCTTTGCTGCCTTCCTCACTACCTAAAGAAATAGGAAGAAGAGGGAAACTCAAGACTTTGAGCCTCTTCCAGGTTCTGTTCTGCCTATCCCAAGCAATAATTGGGGATCTATATCACCAGTCTAGGAGTTAGTCTTATACCTTTATTATATGAAGATAGTATGTGAAACAACTAGCTGACAGAACATTGAACTAGTATTTGCGATTAAGTAAATTGACTTTGAATTTTTTCATTCATAGCTTGTCTTCTTGGTAGGTCAGAAATCTTTAAATCCTATATGGGTTTTTCCTCACTACCTAATAAATATCTAGCTGTTTTTCTCTGACACTGAACTTATATATCCCTCGGGGCTTTAGACTAATTATAATATCATCCAAAAAAATTACTCATAGGGGCACTAGA